CATTATAAGTAGGCCTTTAGATGGACCAAAGATTGGCACCAACATACATTTTGACCTGCCATTATTTTTTTTGCATTTTTTTTGCAATTTAAAAATTAAAACTTCAAGGCCCTGAGTCTTCATTGACATCCAAGAAAAGAAGAAAAAATAAAATCATATGATGATAATTTGGGGTTGAAAAATAGCGTTTATAATGGAAGTCAATGGGCAGAAAATGGTCCCCAGGGTGATGGGTGTGGGGATTTCTGCTGCTCAGCCATTTTAGGCTGATTTAAGGAATTCACACTGGAATATTAACATTGACAGGTAAAAACTATCCTGTGGCAAGTTTGGTTATATTCCACTGAACACAGTGGAAATGGCAGCCATTTAACACATAGCAGTGGCACAAAAAGGTCCCAAGAAGGCAGGAGGGTTAAAGTGCTCTATACAATATGCCACATTCACACACTTTCTCTAAATTGAGTGCTTCCTAACTACATTCATACACATTCACACTCTTGACATGCAGACTGGAGGAGCCAGGGATCAAACTACTAGCCTTCTGATCAGTAGTTGACCTGCTCTGTCTCCTGAGCTACAGCCACCCACTGGCAAAGATGAGTAAACCGTCACTAGGTTTTGGATAAAGTGTACATTCACAAACCTGTCAAACCTGCATTTGAAACATTGGCTACCATAGCAGTATAGTATTGAAACATGGCATTTGGGTCTTCTAACTAAAATAGGAAAATAGGAACATAAATAGTGCCATCATTGCCAGACCTGGCCCACATCTGGCTGACATACACTCTGCCATGACACCAGTCAGTCAGAAGTGCCAGCTTGATGCCAGATCCGGGCCAGACCTGTTATCTATGGGCCTGGGCCACATGAACCAAACCACAATCGAGCCAGATATGGCATGCCATCGCATAAACAGTGTCATCTATGCCAGGCCTGGCCCATATCTGGATGACATACGTCTTATCATGCCAGAAGTCAGCCAGCAGTACTGGCTTGATACCAGATCCGGGCCAGACCTGCCTGCTATGTGGACACACACACACACACACACACACACACACACACACACACACACACACACTATAATGGGTTTACTGCTTTAATTTCATATCTCTACATATCTCTCTCAGTCACAAACAAACATTATTGTTAGTATTATTCTGTCAGCCAATGGAATCATGGGGATCAAAAGGGATCTTGCTTTCGCTTTTGACCTCACACTTATTGCTTCCTGACCCTTAGTGGGCTTAACAAGTGCAACACACACACACAACATTTTCTTTTTAAATTCATGTTTTCTAGATGCTGTTTAGCCAAGAAACAGATTCAGTGTGTCCTTTGGATGTTTATTGACTTTTTTGTGGAGTACATAGTTTTAATTTCATGTCTCACTAACAACATATAGTAGTGAAACAATCCTGTAGCAAGTAAGTGTTAAGAGACTCACGATTATTCAATATAGGTATGAGTGACATTGTGTTTTCTCTATTTGCCTTTTAGAGTGACTGTGCAAGACACTGCAGGTTTTCCAGAGACACGTGTAAGCAGGCGTATTAGGCGGATTCGTGATAAGTCACTTAGGAACACACCCACTCACTGCCCAGTGTACACCAACAGTCCAATACAACAGACACATGTAACACTTAGACACAGCCAAAAACACTGAATGTCCAGCACCTGCAGTGCATACACAGATATCAAGGAGATCAAGTGTTTACTCATAGAAACAACAACACACATACACATCGAACTATTATAACCATTTCTTGTACACAGCCCACTGTATACCATTCGTGACTAGATGTCAGATACTTAAAGTAAGCAGAAAGTTGTGTTGGTGGATTCTGGAGGAGGCTTTTCTCCTCAAAAACTCAGAGAAAGAAGTATGACTAATTTTATAGGACAAATCTGCAAAATGTATTTATATTTACTCTATTTTGAAATACATATTAATGATAGGGTTTGTTGATCATTTGCAAACTAAGGTGCCAATTAGAAAACACTGAGAAATATATGAGGGGAAATGTATGAAGAGGGAAAGTAATGGCTCATGATCTGAAGCATACAATATCATCTGACAGCCATGCTGGAAGCAATGACATGGCATGGAGTCATTTCTGCTGTCTTTTTAAGACACTATTGGAAAAAAGAATATGCTAAAAAAAAAAGTATCCTTTTTAGGATCTAAAATCAAACAGTGTGGTAAGTCTGTGGTTCAGGTGGTAGACTTGGTCGTCCAGTAATTACAGGGTGGGGTGTATGATCCCTGGTCCCTCTTCATGGCAAAGTGTCCTTGGATATGACTCCTGACTGCAGGTGAACACCTCATGTAGCAGCTTCTTCAGTAAGTATTTGACGTGAGTAGTTTAATAAATATCACACTCTGTAAGTGTTTTTGCAAGATTAAATGGTTCTTTTACGATTAATTAATTAGTAGATCACTTGGGCCTATGATTTCAAAGTAAATTCCATTAAATGGTGGTTTAAAGCGCATCCACAAGGTTATTTTTTATATCAAAAGAATATAAAAAGGTATACTTCTACATTAAAGGGCTGCTATTCTGCTGAGCCTATTGGCATCCAAGTTCTATTATCATCCAAATCAAGCAGGTAATAAAGACCTGGCTACTCTCCCATGAATAGACTGTTCTCAGTTTTTACAGATTGACCCATGTACCATTTAGTTATTCAATTTAATTATAAGTACTTCCAGTAATATACAGTGCATTAATTGAAATGCACAATGAGCATTTAACATCAACAAAATGCACTTGTTTGTTTTTTGTTTTAAAAAACGGTATTATTGTTTTACTTCATGTGAACCGATTGTTCATGGGCATTTAAAGGCAAATGCTTGCAAAATGTAACATATACTGCGAAATACATATTTTCTGATTTTATAATTTAATGTTCTGTAGCTTTTGGTATCCAATTATTCCGATAGTGAAGCTCTTGTCTTTTAAATCCAGGCAAAATGAGACTACATGTTTTTAGCCTTTTTCACGCTTTAAAATTTGACAAGCCTTGTGGGCCCCTAATGACACACAAAGTCTGGCGAGTGGTCAGGATTTGGACACATCTGTCTAGTCAAGGTGATGTCCAAGCCCAGAGTTTCCTCATATCGAGATGAGTCAAACTGCAAAGCTTATTTAAGTCACACTGTCGAATTGTTCTGTATCTAGAGGACAATATGTCACATTGATATTTAAAAGTAGCACGTTAATTATCACTTCTGTGTTTGTCGGTCATTTTTTGAAAACAGGTTTAGAAGATAAACGTAATGGACTGGCATTCATATCACTTTTCTTGTCTTACTGACTAGTCAAAACATTTAGGCAATAAGCCGCATTTAACCGTACAGTTATATACTTTACTTTTACTTTATTTATATAGCAAATTTAATAACAACAAAATGTTGGCCAAAGTACTGTAAAAAGATGATAAAAACAATTACACAGTAACAAATAACATCAATAACAAATATCTGGTAACAGGTGACCAAGTGGATAGATAGGTAACTCTCATGCGGTGTTGAAAGCCAGTGAGAGTAAATTTGTCTTAAGATGGGGTTTGAAAAGACTGACAGTTGGGGCCTTGCTAATCTGGAGAGGTAAATAATTCCACATTTTCAGTGCCACAACCACAAATGCCCGGTCACCTCTGTGAACCAGCCTCGACTTAGAAGTGGCCAAGAGCAAGAGGTCACTTGATCTTAGAGTTCTAGGGTGCATATAAGACTGCAGTAAGTCAGACAGATATTCTGGAGCCTGACCGTTCTGCGATTTATAAGTCATCAAGAAAATTTTGTATTTAATTCTGTATTTAATTTTGTATTAAATTTTATATAGTGCTTTATTCTGTGAATTTAAGCAGTTTTTGGACTGTGGCAGTAAGCCGGCATAACAGGAGGAAACCCACACAACAAACTCCACACAACAAGGTCCAAGCTTGGGTTCAAACCAGAAACCTTCTTGCTTTGAGGTTACAGTACTAACCACTATATTATCGCGCCCTCCTCCTTGTATAGAATATGATAGTAAAAATATGCTTTGTCTTGATATTTCCGTTAGTTCTGGTGAATCTATTGGACAATGTCAGATTGTAATGGTTTTCTGTCTCTTCTACCATCTGGTCTCTCAGCTGAAGGTTCAGGCAAAACTCAAAATAGTCTATGCAAAATGGCCAACAGATGGGCGTTGTGGCAGATAAGTGGAAAAAATATCAAAGGATACATTCACACTCAAGGGGCATCTCATCAGCAGTCACTGCATAACTACCCTTACCATTATATATAGTCAGTTTAGAAGCCCCACATGTTCTGGAAGTACTGAATGTCAGCCTCTCCATATTGAATCATATCACCTGTATTTTCCCCCTTGCTGTAGTAATATAAGAGGGGACAAAATAACAGCTTACCCTGTAATTTCTAAGGCTTTTCTATACATACATAGGCCATTTTAAAAAAATACTTTTTTATGCAGTTTGCTCATTTTTCAACAGGAAACAGCCCCTTAGAATGATGATATGGAGAAACTTTTTTTTATTGTTGGTAAAACACACCTTTTAAAAAGATGATGCAAATGCACATGTTTACTTCCTGATTGGGTTTAACTACTCATTATACATCATCAAAATCATATTCCTTGTCATTTTGACATAAAGTAAAAAGTAAAATATATGTTTCATATAATATTTGCTGTGAAATGTGTCTCTGCCTACACTATTGCGCACAGAACTCACTGTTCATTCTTATATTGCCATTTATTCTCTTTTGTTTCAAGTCACTGCATATAATAAAGAAAATGTTCTCTTTTCTTAGTGTTCTCACCATAACTCATCTTCCAAAGAGTATTGTTGTTCCGTAAAGAATATTTCTTTGTATATGTGCCTTTGTGTTTACGCGCTGCATGTGGATGTAAGGAATTGCATGCATTTCTGTATGTGAATAATTCATCTTTGTGTATCCTTGTTTTTATGTTTTTGAACCTCTATAGAAAGTTGGCAAAAAAGCAGAAGGAAACTGCTAGCAGCTCCACTCAGCAGAGGGAGATGGGTCCAGTCACCACAGCTGATAAGAGCACCACTAAAGTCAGCACCTTACACAAAGATGACCCCTTTTCCACCTCCAACCAGGACCTCAATGGGTTCAGTAAGTCAAAATGCTCTGCAGTTCTAGCCCTAAGGTGCATCCAGAAGATATCAGCTGTAAATGGCACCATAATGTTTTTGTTTTGTTTTTTTTACAAGAAAATATAATACTACATTGTCCTTTCCACATTGTATTCTTTCTGGAAAGTGTTAAGAAAAAATAACAAAAACCCCACAGATTTAATTAATTTGCTGTTTCTCTGAAAGTTAACTTTCAAGTTTCTTTTCCCCTTGTCACTCCCTAAAATATGCATATGCTAGGACTCTGTACCATTAATCATTTTGTCACATTCATTTATTCAAATAGTGGACATTTCATTTTTATAATAAAACTCTCCATATGGCCGTCTTTCACCCATAGTGTGTTGTGCTGCTTCACTAGCCTCCATCGTACTTAGTGCTGTTTTAACAATTTTCAGCTGAGCTCTCTATTTTTTCCCTTTATGTGGTGCTTTATACAAGTACAATATAAGTGTGCATATCCTCTTTCACAGCATATTCCACACATTTCAACTAGGCCTTGATTTGTTGGGGAGTAGTCCCAGCTTTTTGTAAAACTGTGTGTGATTCTGATGTAATTAGACAAGACCTCTCAGGAGGGCATTTTCACTTGAAAATGTCATGCTGGCCTTTTGGGAGTGCTTGACCACTGAAAGCCAGGGATGGTGAAGAGGGACTAAGTACCAAGCTAATGCTGGACGTAATTGCCTGCACTCTTTTTCTAACTGTCCGTGCTGCAGTTTTGACGTAAAATAATGTTTTTGTACTGAAAATACTTAAAGCAGACCACTTTTATCTGGAGCGTAGGACCTATATATACTGTAAAATTAGCAATTAGTTGCAATTAGTTTTTGCATTTGCAACATATAGAAAAAGGAGCTAACCTTCAACTTGACATTTAATGTTTTATCAGCCATAAGTCCACAAGTCTTTGGACAATGACAATGATTTTTTTTTTTGTAATTTTGCCAGTTCACTGACACCTTAAAACAATTCATCAGATGTCATTGAAGGGCAGCTTTAATTCAAGGGATTAAACACATGCCTTGGATTAATTGTTTAAGAATTGCAGCCATTCGTACACAGTCTCACTTTTTCAAAGTCTCAAAAGTAATTTGACAATTGACTTAAATGTTTTTATGGCCAGGTGAGGCTTGTTCCCTGATTACTTTATAACAAGTTAAGATATATAATATATAAGAGAAAGAGAAAAATATATTTAAAAAAAAACTTTTACAGTTGATTCCAACTTTTTAACTTGCATTTAGTAGCTGTTTCAGTATAATGTCCAAAGAGATGTTGATGCAAATGAAGAAGCCCATCATTAGAGTGAAAAACCCAATAACAGAGTAGAATCATACCAACCCAATGCATAGCACAATATCTGGTGGGTGGAGGCATGCTGTGGTATGTATGGGTGTCACTGGAACCGTGTTATTAGTATTCATTGATAATCTAACTGGTGATGAAAGTAGCACGATGAATTCTAAAGTCTACGTACATGGCTATACTCTGCTCAGATTCAGCCAAATGCTGAAAAAGCGATCGGAGAGCACCTCAGTGTAAACAGATAATGACCTAAACCATAATGCAAATACAACCAAAGATTTTCTCAAGGAAGAGAAATGGGATACTGAGTGGCCTGGAAACTGAAGGCAAAAAAGACCCATAAAAAAGCAGCATCTGATGGTGGATGCACTAAAGACCAATCGGAGAATCTCAAAGGCAGAAATAGCATTTGGTAATGTCTATCTGGCAGTCATTGCACAGAGTCAATAAATACAAAGAAATTTGTTATTAAACAAAAACTTATGGACCAAACTGTAATTCCCTTTCTTCAATTAGAAACAACTACCCCAGGTCTATAAATATATTTATGTTTTTTGAATGTATAAGACAGACGCTTGACATCCTGTGCTTCTTGAGAACTTACTAGACCTTCCCTGTAGCCAAACAAACGTTCAGCATTGAAACTGAATTTCTTTATGCAATTTTTCAGTAAATGTGAAATGAAGATTTGGATATGTAAAAGAGACTTGACTTTGCCCATTGTGAGCTTTGGAAAAATGGCACAAAACTTTGTCAAGGTTACACGTATAAAAATATGACTCATTCTCTTTTTTGTTGTGTGCTTACAGTGTCTTGTGAATATTTGAAAAAGAAATAAAGAAATTGGAAACACACACACACACACACACACCCATACACACACACCATAGTCACCAATTCAAGCTCAGTCTTAATGAGACAGAGAAAAATGCTGACACAAGATAGGGGACCCAATAATATTTGCGGAAATGGACCCTCACAGGGCAAATAACCTTTTTGTGTTATTGTGTTTTCACCCAGTCACCAGCTTACTTCACAGGACATTGCTGCCAAAGCAGATTTCTTTTTGTATGCAGGTACACTCCTCACTGTATTAAAGTTGAGCTTCTTTCTCCGGCACATTAGCATACAGTGCCGGTACACATGAGACGTGAGGGATTTTATCATAGAAGAGGAGAAAATATGTTGTGTGGGGGTATTAGGAGAGGAGAGCAGAGGGAAGAGACTAGGGAATAGGCAGAGGAAAGAGGACAATGGAGAGAGAAGACGAAACTTAAATAATCAGCAGTAGAGAAATTGGGCCATTGTATCAGAAAACGTTACACAAACAGAGTATCATAGTTTGAATAACAATTAGGCGGGACGGGTGAATGGATGTTTGGTGGTGTGTGTGTGTGTGTGTGTGTATTCCTTTTTATTTGGGAAGAGAGAATATCATACATTGGTTATAGAATCTGTTCTTGGTGTTTCACAAGGACTTTCATTATTACATAGTAATCTGGTTATCAGCAATATTCCTAAAGTAAGAGACGATTCCTGAAACCACCTTACCCATTTGAAACCGCAAAATGACAGCAGAGGTTTTTGTTGTTGTTGTTGTTGTTGTGTTTAAAAAAAAACTTTGTGGAGTTCTTCTTGTGTCTCTGTAGGTTTGCTATCCCAGGTTTCTTCCATAGTCCAAAGACATGCCATTAGTGGGCTCAGGTGATTCTAAATATCCTCTAGGTGTGTATGTGAGTGTGAATGTTTGTCTGTCTCTTTGTGTGAGCCCAGACCCTGCCTCTCGCTCTACTCACTCCGGCCCCCTGGAAGATGGATGGAATCTGACACTAGCACTAATTACAAATATAATATATAACTACTATATGCTTAAGTAAACAATACAAATGGAATGTATGTGGAAAACCAAATCAAAATCAGAGAAACTGCAACAAAGTAGAGATAAAAAAAAAAAAAAAAGGCATGAGAGAGGAAAAGATGGAAAACAAATGCACATTATCTTATGATCTGCTCAGTGAACATAAAAGGAACCTTTTCACTTTAGACCATCAAAATTCACAGATAGTAAAAAACAAACACATAAGTGATTTCTATGCTAACATGTAAACATGTAAATGAGCCAAGAACAGTTACCTTCAAGTGGGCGTAAACATATACATCCATATGCATACAGGTCTTAAGAGATAAATATGTGTAGGTTAGCTCTGTCATATAATGTGGATTATTGAACAGGCTAGGTAGCATATAATATGAAACTGTCAGTTTCCCAGCACTCCCCTTAGGTTTTGTCTTATTGTATTTGTTTATATGTGGGCCTCTGTATCCCAGATATCATTTATTTATAGACCCCTAGAGCTATGTGTATATGTGAGAGGTAAAGTGTATGTGCAAGGACTTATAGCTTTTAGTCACTGTTTAATAAACCAAGTCCGTCAGTCACATTTATTACCAATGACATATCTCCTAAATTACTTTCAGCTTTGGTACATTGACCTTATTGCCATGGTGGCCAGTTTGAACTGGCAATAGCAATTTAGACTAACCACCTTGATGAGACAGAATGTTACAGAACTTCAGTAAACTAAAACTCAGTAAACTAAAAAAGTACACTGTAATGCTTTTGTTCCATCTGTATCTCCGATAACCATAAAAGTGACGATAGATGCAAGCTTAAGTCACTTCAACAAATGCTCATGGTTGTTGTTTTGTTCTGGAGTCCTACTTTCAGCTAATTTATCATTTCAAGGGCATTAAATACTGAAGTTTTGTCAGTGCTGCTGGCATCTCACATAAAGGCATAAAATGTTTGGCACTGGGCTGTTATGCACTGGATTTAAGGGTATACTGAGACAGATCTGTCACTCTCATTTGGAGTTAAACTGTGTGTCCAGAGCTCACCGTTCATATTTCTGTGTATTTCTAGGAGACATATGTAATTGTCAACTAATAAGTGACAAATTACATGAATAATATTGTTACTTTCCAAGGGATGTGTGAAAGTAACAAAACGTGTCCAGGTTGAAAAAAAAAAAAGACAGGGAGGCAAAATTGTTAAATTAAAGGCTTTTATTAATTTCTATTACTAATTAAACTAAAAGAGACAGAGAAGTGGCTGTCACCTTTAAAAAAAAAAAGAAGAAAAAAAACCCCAGGAGTTGTTCACTAAACTGAAAAGAAAAGCCAAAAGCTAAATGACCAAAACACACTGCTTTCAACAAAGCAGGAATACACAGCCACCGCAGATACAGCTCACAATCTGTAAAACCAACAAGGATCTAGACCAGGGGTGGGGAAACTCGAGGCCTCAAGGGCTGGTGTCCCGCAGGTTTTAGATGTGTCCTTGATCCAACACAGCTGATTTATATGGCTAAATGATGTCCTCAGCATCTGTTGAAGTTCTTCAGAGACCTGGTAATGAACTAATTGGTTGATTCAGGTGTGTTGACCAGGTTGATATCTAAAATCTGCAGGACACTGGCCCTTGAGGCCTGGAGCTTCCCACCCCTGCTCTAGACCTTACCGTTATCTCTCACCTTAAGTACTCTCTTAATTGCTGATTAGAGTCAGCTCTACAAAAAGGGTGGCACCTAAGGCAGGAAGGGTCAAATTAGCACATGCAAGTACTGTGTTTACAATTTGCCTGACTTCTCATCAATGACCTCTTTAAAAATGTTGTTTTAATCAAAACTGACATATCATTGGTATGGTATTATAAATCCTACAGAATGCTTATATTGTGTTTTCTAAAACAAATTGTGATCTTCCTATCCATTGGTCTTTTTCGGTTTCGTTTTTACACCAGATTTTAGTGCACAATTGTTGGAATATAAGCCCTGTTATCCTCAAAATTCAATATAATGGTGCCATTAGTTTTATTGAGTTGCCCCCTGAACTGCTGAATATAGCATACTGATCTGTCTTTATGTAGGTGTTTTTTTTAGATTTCATGTCCTATGATATTTTGTTTTTCCTTTTCTTTTCTTATCAAACCTGACCCTCTTAATTTTCAACCTCCTGATTCCTGTACCTCTTCTCTTTCTCATGTTGCATGTTTCACTTTCTTACTCTTATGCTTGTTTCATTTAAAACTTTCACTGTACAACTTTTCATTTTATATATATTTTTTCTCTTTCCTGTCTACATTTACTTCTCCTTGTCCACCCTAACCTCCTTCTTTCTCTCTCGCATCCTCCTTTTTCACCTTCCTCCGTTTTTATTGTTTTGAATCCTTTTTTTCACCTTCTTTTCACCTTTCTGTCTCCTTCCCAGCTTCTCCTTCTCCCTGCTCCTTCTCAGTGCAAGGAAGCAAGATGCTGCAGAGCAAATCCCTGCTGAATTCCTACTACTCAGGTACACACACATCCTCACACACTATCTGTCTTTTAATTTTACATTGAATTCCTCTTCATAACTGAACACTTTTTTTTCATTTATGACTGTGAATATCTTTGCAGTGTCCAAAGAGCCAGTTCCAGCCACAACTTCTATAGGTAAGAATTTGGATTTCTATGAGTTTCCTTTCTCAAGGCATAAATCTGATGTACTAATGTTTGCAATACACAATTTATTGCTAATTGCACTGATACATGAAGCAGAAAAAATGCATGTCTTATTTTTTGTGCTTGATCTTGAAATGAACTTGAGTCCCCTCGTACTCACACGCTAGGAGAAATGTGTCCACACACAATCACATCATTTACACAAGGACAGAATGAAATTGCAAAACCATTTTCCTGTACCTTCTTTCTGTTTTTTTCTCTTCATTTCCTCCCTCTCTTCCCTTCTGTTGGCCAGATTGACACATTCTTTGCCAAGAAGGTTGGCTCAAGCCACTGCCAAAGTGTGACGTCTGTGTATAGCTTGTCTTTGCATAAGTGAACTATTTCACACAGTCTCTCACATTCTGCACATGCAAAGGATTTTACAGGAAAGTTTGTTTTATGTGATTATAGTTATCAGTCAGCTCCTAGCTCATCCTCTTCTTGCCACACCTCCTCTCGCCAGTGTTCACGTTTTTCTCCAAATGTTCTGCTTCCACTTTCCGCTCTTTCTTTTGATTGTGGAGTTTCTCCGTTCTTTTTCACTGTTTCTATTTTTCATTTTTCACAGTGCTGTCCAAAAGCCTCCCCCATTTCTTTATAGTTTGCTAGGTACAGTAGATTGCAAATGGGTGCAGTGATTTATTGAAATGTCCGAAGATAAACATATACATGCCAAAACCAATTCTGTACAATTTTTAATAAAGAAGTCGCTTAAAAGTCAGTATTTGGCATAAGCACCTTTATTCCACCACAAAGGCAAGCCTTCTTCTAATTTCGCAAAGTAGTCTTAAAGAGTAGACTTCTTGAAGGGTTTTGTTTTGTTTTGTGTTTTTTTGTCTGCCTTGTGATCCAATCTATGTCAAGATGGTCCCACAATTCTTCCATATTAGTGAAGTCTGGGTTCTGGGGAAGCCAATCTATGACTGATGTTGTTCCATTATATGCCTTTCTATCACTCCAAAACCTTTTGCCACTTTTGAGCCCAGTTTTTGTGTAATTTGCCATTGACACCCACCATTCCATTGAGACCATTTCTGATGAGGCTTCAGCAAACTGTAGATTGATCAAGGATGATGTCAGTTCTTTGATTGCCGAGGGTGGGGGTCAAACCCCCACCCTCATTTCTTAAGGACATGAGTTTCAGATACATCTGTGTAGACAGTTTTTATGCCTGTCGTAAAATCACTGTCATAAACACCCATTTTTGAGTTGTTCCTGCCCTAAAAAAACTCACCAAAGTAGACAGTTGTAGAAAAATACAACTTTTATTCTATAGCAGTGATCCAACTTTAATATATTTGAGCTTCTTTTCTGCAGTTCATGCAGTTGGTACAGAGGTTTCTGTGCCATTTGCTGATGAACATCAAGGCATGATGAAGCAGAATGCAAAGAAATGCTTGAGCGATTTGTGCAATGGCACAAATTTGCTGTCATACATCTTCATGCTATGACATTAGTGTTTTATGGAACCATCTGTTCTTACTACAGTTCGAAAATCAAGGGATGTAAAATGAAACTTTGATCATTACTCAAAGAAAAATCCGCTACAATTAATACACAAAATATAGAAAAAAAATAGATTTCATCCAGTGAAAAAATAAATAGCAGAACTTACATATTTTTAAGGTCTAAGAAATGGAAAAAAAAAAAAAGGTTTCCTGGATTTTATAAAGTTTTATCTCTTCCTGCATAAATGTCATCTGTAGTCATCATATAGCAGCAGTCTAGGTGTTGGTTGCACATCATCCTAAGCATAACAATTTAGGTTATTATCATCAACATCATTATCCAAGGTAACAAGGCAGAGTGTAGAAGAGAAAAAAGAGGAAAGAGAGAGGAATAGGAAATACAGATGTTAAAAATGGAAATAAACCAGACAATATGCAATAATAATAACCTCAATGTATTTATACATTGTAAGCATAGTGGTCAGAAGACTTCCATCATTTTACTAACTTTCTAAGATAGTTTTAAATATATTTAAAATGGCAGTGTTTTCATTATTTTCAGTCTGTAATACCCTAACTTAACTTAAAGAAATCCACATACTTTTGATGTCTTCTATCAACCATAAATTTAAAGTACAAACCAAGCAGCCTCTGTTGCAAGACAGGAAAACAATGTGAAATGTACGCTTGAACCAACCTGGCCAAGCAGACAACAAATAGTACATATCAATCGCTGAAAGACTGAATGTTAAAATACCCTTTTAATAATTGTCCTCTAGTCATACATTATCATTTTAACACTTTAATTTCTAATGAGTCCAAGAGTTCTTTTTTTCTAGGTGACTTCTAAAGGCAGCTGAACTTCAATCTATAATAAATGGATAAAAATCATATTACTTCAAAAGTAAGATTCCCACATTTAAATACATTTCAATGCCATTCAGGCTTTTCAAAATGGATAATAGTAGCAGGAGCCTCAATGACGCTAGTGAGGATCATTTTTCAATAGCTTTCAGGAAGAGCTGAGATAGGTGCAAAGAGAGAAAGAGAAAGTTATTAAGAAGACAGTAAAAGAGACATACAGATTGAAGGATCAAAGGGAAGTAAAAGGAGCTTGAATAAATCCACTATGCAAAGAAAAGCTTTTTTTCTTTCTTTTCTTTTTTTTTTTTGCTGTGTTTTGTTTTTTTCTGGGGCAGCAGGAGGGCATGTGTGTTTAGACTCAGGCGTTTTTTTGGCTCCGCAAAGGGTATTCCATAGAAATGCACACACAACCTTGCTGTTTTTCTCCCTAAGTTTTTGTTGCAGAATATAGACAAAAATGCAAATATATAGATCAAGACTCAAGAACACATGACAAAGTTACAAATACACAGAGTACACACTCACAAATATCCATATGCACATACACCCAGCACAGTGTTAACACTGATGCGACATAAATCCTGTGGATCAGTACAAAGCCACAGCGGCATAGTGTGCAACTTGATTTGTCTAAAAATCAAGTTGTCAGACACTGATGTATGTTAAGAGGTTACGCAACACTGTTCTCTGTCAGTTCACAAAGGAAGTGTCAGCCTTTTATACCCTGCCAAGGACAATCCTTTGCTGCTGTTAACACAGAAGTCGTGTTTTTTTATGGATCAGGAGCTTTCTGCGGTTAATTAGGTACACACAGTTGCACAAATACTATGACAAACACAGACGCATAGGAGCTCGAGAAAAAGACAATAAAAATCTGTATTTTAAATTCCCCTCTGCATATTCCTGCTTGCCTTTAAAAACCTTAAAGTTGGGGAAACTCAAATCAACAGAAGGTTACAGCTTCAAAATTTCAAGGCTTTGACTAAATTTGACTGAAGGCAGAACTGCATTAAAAGGGATCATTTGTTCAGTATATTAATTTGCTCCCTAAATCATGATCAGGGTCCACTTTTTTTATGTGATCAGTGTTATCAGTACAGCACAGCCTTAGTGGTTAAAAGATGACCAGAGGACACCTTTTTGGCCCTGGTAGAAGTAGCACATTACTATAGGTAACTGTAAATATGTCAGGTTTTGGGGTATTTTTTATTAGTACCTTTTCTACTTTTAATATATACATATATATATATACATATATATATATATATATATATATATATATATATATACTACTGCTAAAACATTTGCTAATAAGGACACGATATAAGTTGCAGGCGATCCAAGTGCCAGTGTCCTATGACAACCATTATTGGTTAAAAAGTTTTACATGCATGTAAGTGCATGCATGGGATCTATAGGATTATAATTGTTTTAATTGATATCTAATTAATTCCATGGTCAAATAGCTGAGGGTTAATTCCTTTTTGAGACTGATTTTTGACTATAAGACTGATTGAAATGGACCGGTATCATCTGCATCCTTTGTTGTAGTATATATCTCTGTTTTTGACTGAATTCATAAGTGGAACACTATTACTAATAATACTTTCAAGATCCATACGTTATGGCGTTTAAGTTTAGAGCTAGGTTCTTCCATTTTAATGAACAATTTAAAGTCCCTTAAAAAGCTGCTGTGATTGAAAAGGGCCAATACATACGAGTGAAGGATATCTTTGTTCAAAAAAATGATACACAGGAAAAGTGATGAAAAGATTTTGAGCAAACTAACATAATGAAAAGATGAGAATCCTTGATTTTTTTTTCAGTGCATATTTTACTGAAAGAAACGATTCAGTCCAAAGACCTTGTTGACGTGACATTTTCCAAAACAATATTTTGCAGTGCAAGTAAGTAGAACACTTAACAGCAACTGTGCTGCTGGCACAATGAAAGTTGATGATCGTCCAGAGTTACCACCTGTGCAAAGAGCACATATTTTCTATCTACAGCCCTGCTCGTATTGGAAATATCTCTTCTTTTTTTTTTCCAACCATATTACTGAGGGCCAATTATTTTCCCAGTCCAGTTCAGCATAGCATCAGGCTGCATGTAAGGTGATTATGGCTAATGGTAGTCATTTTGTTTGGCCATAATGTGGCACTGCTGGGTAATTGAAGGTGAGTGCAGGGTTGAGAGAAGGCTTTTCTAAACCTTATGCTCTTAAGGCAGATTGAACCTCTGTGCTCTTTTTCAGCCACATCTTGACTGCCTGCTTACACAGCTTATATTCAAGTCTACTGGTCTCTCAGACATACTTCCTTTTGACTGAGGAGCCACAGCTAAACCCAGCATACCAGACCTTTTCGGCAGTTAGTTGGCTCAGTTTGCTTTAATGACTGGGATCCTTTTCAGTTTTTTATTTTCTTCATTCAGTAAGGCTTAGTGTGAAAGGGTATAGGAACATACTAAAAATACCAATATATAAAAAAAAATGGTTTCAGATGAAAATGCAATGAGCAAATGAAAATGCATAGTAGGAATATCTCCAGGATTTATTTTATTTTATTTTATTTATTTTTCTTGGCATTCTGAAGAAACTAGGTTGAGGTGTCTGGAGCCCTTATCCTTATCAGGATC